ATTTTTTATCAAAATTTTTTTTTTATGTGATATTATATAATGTCTAGTCTTATGTCAATTACTCCCCTAAAATTGTATACTGATTTTCGTAGTCCGATCACATTTACGACATGTTCTTTGAAGAACAAAATTACTTATCACTTGAGGCGTTTGAATTATTAGAGACCAGTTCCTAAAGGCATTTGACATTATAGTTAGATCTGCTAGATTTTGAACGTACATGGCAGGCTATAAAGTAGAGAGAGAGAGAGAGAGAGAGAGGGAGAGAGGACACAATGAAATTAAATAAGGTTGAAAAAGGCCGACAAACAAAGGGTGGTTCAGATAGATTTACAACCCCAGCTTAAACCAAAATAGGCCCATATTTTCACTAGTGGGTTTGTGTTTCACTTCACAATTGAAAATTTTTAGGCCTTTCAACACCAGCTGCAGCCCAAAAAAAAAATTAGGCCAGAACAAATAATAGATTTGGCCCAATTTGGCAAGGTCACTATTCAACATCAGAAAGAGACCAATGGGCCATTGACCTATAGATGGGTGTACCTCTCCGCTTTTTACCGCCCTAAAAAACACACAGTCTTGACCGTCAGATCAAATCATTCAGCTTTCCTATATTTCTCCTGATCGCAAAACCCTGTTGCGCAAACCCTATAAAACGACACGTTTCCTTGGTAAAGCTGCTAAACCCTAGAGCTCGCGAGTAGCCGTTTCATCTCTGTCTTTCTTCGAGAAACATCTAGTTGAATGTGTGTTCTCTCTCGTTCTTCATTCGTAATCTCAATTTATTTCTTGATTTAATTTTGTTTTCTGTCAAAGTGTTCGATCTGTAAGAACAGTATCGTTGGATTAGGCCAAATGATGTAATTTTTGATAGAGATGAATGCTCATATGCTTGTTTTTTGAGTGTAATGATTCTCATCAGAATAGGAAGATCTGATGCCTCCATTGTATAATTTTTTCTCTAATTTATCTGTCTTTCGATTCTTTATTTCTTCTTTTTCTTTTTCCTTTTTTTGATTTATTTTGAAGGGTTTTCTTTTGATTTCTCATTCTTGTGGCATGATAGAATAGATATTATTTGAAGGGTTTTCTTATTATTCTAAATTTCTTCTGATATCAGTTGAGTGATTAGCCGATGATGACATTTTGTTATTCAACAGAAATGCAAGTTTTTTAAAGTTGCTGTAGTGTTGAAATTCTTGAACTAGGACGGTCTGAGGCTTTGCATTTTATTTGAATTTTGTTATTGAGATTCATACCAGACTTAGTGTATACTTTGTTGATTGTTAAGTTTAGTTCTGTGCTTCTCTTTCTTTTTTAAGTTTTTGGTGTTTTAAAATCTATGCTGTGTTTGTGGATGATGAGAAACAATTTTTTTCACAGTTATCCCTGTCTGATAAATTTGTGCTGACTACTTGTGATCTGACACAAACTGTAAGATTCAATATTTGATTTTATGAACTGATTGTTTTGCTTTAGATTCTTTTTCACTTTGAAATAGCTTGATTTCGTCTTGTCGTGCTGGCATCTGATTTGGGTATCTATGCAATTGGCCAAGTGATCATGCCGCAATTTTCATAGACATTTTTGTGGAATGGATTTAAAATTTGACTTGAAGATTAAAATTTTAACTAGGAAATCCCCTAATAAATAGGAACTTTTCTGAGCTTTAATCAATTAATACAGTTCTTGCTTTTAGGATTTAGCATTTTGCAAAGCAATGAATTTTCCTCTTGGATTTGCCACCAAACTAGAAAGAGCTTATTCTTTTTCTCTTTTTCTGTATCATAATTGTTGTAACTTTCTCTTGATACCAGTTGACATTAGCCCATGATGACAGTTTGTTATTCAACTGAAATGCAAGTTTTAAAGTTGCTATAATGTTGAAATTCTTGAACTAGGACGGTCTGAGGCTTTGCATTTTATTTGTGTTTTTTTTTACTCCTTGAGATTCTAACCAGACCCAATATAGGCATTATTGAATTTTTGTTTTGTAGCTTTTCATTTTCGCTGTTTTTATAATATCTATGGTGTTTGTGGATGATGTGAAACAATTATTCACAGTTATCCCTGTCTGATACATTTTGTGCTGACTACTTGTGATCTGACACAAATACTAGGATATTATGTTTGGTTATATGAACTAATTGGTTTTTCTTTTAATTCTTTCTCTGTGGAATAACTTAGTCTACAAGTGGTGGTTCTGTATTGGTTTTCTGTGTCGGAATAACTTAGTCTACAATTTTCATGAATATATTTGTGGAATTTTCGTAAAATTTCAAATAATTATTAGAACTTAATCTAAAAGTCCCTCATTATTAATCTTCACATTTCTCACTTTTAATATCTTTTATAGTGTTTCATGAATTCTCTTTCAAAGCAATAAATTTTTCCTCTTTGATTTGCCAGTGAAAATTTAAAGAGAGTTTAAATATGAGCATTTCTTTGCTTATTGTTTAGAAGTTGAATACTAGGAAGGTTGGAGCCATTTACCTTTTCTTGACCTTTTGGCAGTAGTTGATCCAAGACTTTATTGATTTATCTCCTTTCATTTCATACTTGCATGTCACTGCCGCTCAATCTCAATGAGAAATGGCTCTTCAAAATTTGCATTCTTGTGGGGCATATTTTATGCTTGAGTTTGTTTTAAAATGGCTAATAAGTTCTAGTTTTTTAGCAGTGCAACTTAAGAGGATGACTCTTTTATTGCAGAGACTGAGGAGATGTCATTTATTCCATAGCTGCTATAGGGGTGGGATTGCAGTGCTTGAATCCAGACTACATGGCAGGGCAGTGTCGCTTTTGCCTTGAAAGATTAATTTTCCTTGTTTGAAGATATTAAATGAAAGAAGTTTTGAATATATTTTTTTGGATTTGTATTTGGAGGATATGGGAAACTCTGTATAAAATTGTAAAATGTTCTTCACCCTTCCTATGGTTCTCTCATTCTCATATTATGTGCTTGTGGCCATGTTTATTGTATGGTATTATTTGGTTGATGGAATGTGGTTGTCTTTGGATGCTGATTTTGATCCAGGCAGTCATATAGATGCTCAAGTTAACAGGTCAATAAGCTCATATGCCACCAACTCTTGCTTCTTTGTTCGTTTATGGGGTGGAATCTATTCACGTCTATTAACTTTTGATCTTGTGCTTCAAGTAGCTGATGGGTTCAAACTCAGATCGAGCAGGCCGGTAATGGACTTCCCTTGTGTTCTGTTCGGTAGGACATGAAAAAATAGAAGGACAAAAATTGAGAGTAATACACTTTTTATTTTTAAAAGAATAAATTATTTTTTTTGTTTTTTTGTGTTCGGTAAGAGAGATAAAAAGTAAAGACAGGATTAATTTTTTTGTGTTGATAAGTTGTAATTTTTTTTTAATTTTTAATTTTATTAAAATAATATAAATATATATTTTATTATTATATTTATATATGCAATTAATCTATATAATAAAACAGGAGCGTGTTTGAATTTTATTCAAGTTATATTTTTTTCCTCAAAATCATCATCAATCACTTATCTCACTCATCATTCTTTTGTTTAAATTACATCAGTCATTTTTATCACATATTTAATCATTTATATATTTTCTCCCTAAAAATATCACACAACTCATTTTTATCATATATTTAATTATTTATTAGGGTTAATCTCATTTTGCACCCTAAAAGATTGTTCAAATCTCAATTTGTACCTTCAAAGATAAAAAATCTCAATTTGCACCTTCAAAGATAGATATTTGTATCAATGTGCATCCCCAAAGATAAAAAATCTCAATTTGCATCCTCAAAAATAGAAATTTGTATCAATGTGCACCTAAAATTAAATTGATAAATTATACTTAGATCCACTTATGTTTGTCACTTAATCATTTGAACTCCTTCACATTTAGAATATTTCCCTTACATCTCACGACGTTTGTGCATGTGTAACACATAACCACTTTTCGTTGATATCTGTTAATATAATCGTTAAAAAATATGATTTTATCCTAATAAATAATTATAATTTTATATTACCTTTTATTTTGTGGATTCGATATACTCTAAAGTTGCAAATCAAACTTACCATTTGAATGTCTAATAAAATGTAGATATTTATATAAAAGGTAATATGAAAAATATTATATAAATATTTATATTTTATTAGACATTCAAATGGTAAACTAGATTTTGAACTTTAGAATATATTGAACCCATAAAATAAATGGTAATATGAAATTATAATTTTTATTAGGATAAAATTATATTTTTTAACGGTTATATTAATAGATATCAATGAAAATGGGTTACGTGTTATACGTGCACAAATGTCATAAGATGTAGGAGTAGTATTCTAAATGTGAAGAGGTCTAAATGATTAAGTGACAAGTATGAAGGGATCTAAATATAATTTATCAATTTAGTTTTAGGTGCACATTGATACAAATTTCTATCTTTGAGGATGCAAATTGAGATTTTTTATCTTTGGGGATGCACATTGATACAAATATCTATCTTTGAAGGTGCAAATTGAGATTTTTTATCTTTGAAGGTACAAATTGAGATTTGAACAATCTTTTAGGGTGCAAAATGAGATTAACCCTAATAAATAATTAAATATATGATAAAAATGAGTTGTGTGATATTTTTAGGGAGAAAATATATAAATGATTAAATATGTGATANAAAATTTTAATCTTTGAGGGTGCAAATTAAGATTCGAACAATCTTTCGAGGTGCAAAATGAGATTAACCCTATTTATTATTTAATTAATTTGTAGTTAATATATTTTAAAAAAATTTAATATAACAAGATTTATTTTTTGGACACTCAAAATTTATATTTTATCGTGTCTTCAGGCACGGATTATGACTAGTGTATATATAATTTATAATTGACACAATTATATAATATATCAATTATATATTATATTTTTTTTTAACACAATTAATTTTTTATTTTTATTTTTTAATATTGAAAGGATTAATTTTAATGAGTTAGAAAGAAAGATANAGGCAATTAACCAAAATCCCTTCTTCCCCTATAATCAAAGAAGAATTGAGGACACGTACCTGATCACCATTCACCAGATGCTGTTTCTGGATTTTCACACTTTCATGCCAATTTCTAGACATTTACTTAATGGTGATATAGCGATTTGTTCCATGCTTCGCCCAGTTGTCCTTCAGATCAACTGGATTCGACAGATCATGGCCTTCTGCAGCAAGCCGGCTAATCAGTTTATTAAATGCACTCCCACTCATTTTCCGACCACCAACTCGGGCATGACGCTTGTTNATGGACAGAATTACTTTTGAGGATGCTATGGTGGTTTTGCAATCCTAAATGAATTATCTCAATCAGTGTCCGAGAAAATCAGGCGAGGAGCACTTGTAGGTCCAGTTTGTTGGGTCGTAGTTCAGTTGTGATGCTAAAGCAAGTCTAGTGAAAAAGGAAACGAAGGGTAAATGGTGGACATATAACAAGAAAATGAAATATCATGAACAAAAAGCAATGCAGCACTTGTTTAAANTTGTGCAGCACGAAGATTGCCAACCTCCATTTCCCCATTTGTAGCATGGCCTTAGGAATCCAGTGCATGAACAAACTGGCACTGGCATGGTTGAATCATCAAATGCAACCTGGTTCAGCCCCAGGTCTTGATCTTTCCAATCCGGCTTNCTTGTTTAAAACATATTAAGAAACGAAACAACTCTTGATCATCGTGATTGAAGGGACATATAAACCCAGTTAATTCCGGCCCAGGGTATGGGCATAACCATCTATATAATAAAATAGCTAGGTGTTTGAACTTATGGGGAGTATATTTTTCCCCCCAAATTTCACACACCCATCACACACTTTCTCTCCCAAATTTCACAAACTCAATACAAATACTCTACCATACATAGCTACACATATTCCAATACACACTCACTACAAACATTACAAACATTATATATACACTCCAGCTGTACACACACANCCTGTTATTGTATGAAGCTTCACCCAATTGTGGCTGATGATGTATATGCTGCTGCGGATGATGCATGTGCTTCACCCCACGTGTGATCTGGCATCCCGGTGGACATGGAGACATATTACCACTATTCATGGAGTTCTCCCTATNAGTGACATAGTTTAATATTCAGTGACTTCAGTCGCAGGATATTGCTAGTATTATATATAGGCTGAAGAAAGAAAGGACTGGACAAACAACACTATAATAACTTTAACAATAACGTTAATACAAGTACAACCAGACAATTTGAGGTACGTACAACCTTGCTTTACCATTATCTCCAGTCACGGGTAGATGCTTCAAGTTCACCAAATTTAGCTATTGATATACCAACAAAATGCCAACAGCTCTTCATCCTTCCTCCAAATAATTTTACAGGGGAAAAGAGAAGGGACAAAAAGAGGGAAAGAGAGCAAGTGATTACCAACACGAGGATGGCAAGAAAAGGGCACTAGCAATTTTTGTTTTTGTTTTTTTTTTGTTTGGGAAAANCATGAAAAGAAGTAAATGCAACTTTAATATTCCAATCTTAGAAAATAACATGGAGAGAGGGGGAAAAATTGTAACAGCATATTACCATTGCAGTAGATATCAGAAGCAGAAGGCCATCTCTTTGGAGAATGTCTGTCAAGAAAACTATTCCAAACTAAGCTCAAAATACAGCAAAAAACAATCCAACACTGAGTAACAATCAAATCCCTGGGTAACTGCAAACGAACAGCATGCTTCAGCTGAAAAGCATCCAAACAAATAGAAATTCCACAGCAGATGCATTAACAACTAAGACTTTTGAAAGAATTTCCACTTACTGCGAGCAGGGCCAGCAACCAAAAAGTAGAAATTTGATCAATAAAATCCTAGAAAGTGCTTAGAAAATAGAAGAAAGCGAATCCCCTTGACAAATGCACATGTATCTATGTGGAACTTAGGAGTCAAAGCAGACACATGCATATCTCAAATGTATTACTGGGAAAGGGAGGAGGCAAACAAACGTTTTTCACAACCTTGGCAGCAAAATAGAATGCTGTTATTTTGCAGTCATAACAGAGATTAAATATTGCATGCTAAGTCTTTGTACACCTGCAGGCTAGTCACAGATAGGATCAACATAAAGGAAACAAAAATTACCAAGCAGGAATACCAATAAACATAGACCAAATGGCATAACTCAGTTTCCATTTCAAAGCTGGGACCTCATATTACAAACCCGCCATATTTGGAGTCAAAGTTTCTTCCAACAAACAATCAAGAAATGGGTCATCCTCCTCTCAACACAAGTTAACCAAGCATTATTATTCTCCAAAACAAATTCTAAGCATTTCTTTATGGTGAATATGATTTATATACAAATTTTCAACTATATCTGGCACATTGGCAGAACTTGGATCAAGAGTTTTCAAAATTTTCACAACCACCCGCCTCTGACCAGAAGATGGAAGTAGCTACTAGTCGAAAAAACCATAACAGCAGTACTAAAGATTGTCTTTTAAGCACGAGCAGAGCGTCAAATTCAACACTGATCAATTAACTTAACCAAAAAAAAAACGAATGCAAGTCAACAAATCAACCATACTCGCAGAAAGAACAGACAATAACAACATACTTTGCTGAATTCAACCATCAAAATTCAAAATTTATCCATTCTCATATCAATTCTCAAATTAGAATTTACTCCAAAACCCTAAAAGCCCCAAATCACTCAGGCCAAGCTCCAAACCAGTGCAAAATGAAATTAACCAAAATTAAAGGCGCAATAAACACTATTAACAACACACAAAAAGCTATCATTTTTCTACTGCAGAACTCAGTTCAAGGAATAAACCTCTCACCGTGACAGTTACCGTAGGTAAGGAAACAATAAACGACAAGGAAGCGAAGAAGCTACAAGAACAGAAACGAGCTAGCTACTAAGAGAGTCAACGAGAAATCGAAAGCTTACATAGAAGAGTGAGAGAGTGAATCTCAGATGGAGAGCGACACAAGAGTCAAAACCCTAGTAAATCGAAGGAAATGAAAATCTGGGAAGAGGATATAGTTGGTAGTACAAAGGGACGACAAAGACAAGTAGCCCACTTTTTGTCCGAGTTTCACAGGATTACCCGTCCGAGTTTCACAGGATGACCCATCACTATTTTTTCTAAATAGCTTCTTTATTGTACCCATCCATCGCTATTTTGGATTCTACTGTTGCTTTTTTTTTTTTTTTTGAAAAATTTCATGAACACTTCTTCTAATTTTTTATATTTTCAAAGACATCTTTTATATTTATTTGAATCTTCGTTAACACTCCTATCAGATTAAATTATAAATTATAATATAATTTTATTAAATTCTTCATAATATATTTTAAAAAAAATTTTATTCACACCCCCTTTTAGATACATATATCTTTAATGACACTCTCTTTATTTTTTCAATTTTTTACATATTAAAATTCAGGTCTATTAAAATTCAATTTGAGCTAATTAAATTTTTTTAAGTATCAAAATTTGAGTCGATTAAAAATTATAATTTTTTTCATATTGAAGCTCACACTTTATCAATTTAATTATTTTTTATTGAATAGTGACATCATATAACAGTGATGATGTTAATTAAATATAAGTTTCATTTAACATTAAATTCATAACAAATTCAATGATTACATTGAATTAAGTTTCTGATTACGTCTCCAAATTAGATCCTATACGTGAAGATTTATGCTGCAGGCAATGTTGAAGCTTTCTTATAAAACCAAATGCCAACATCAATCCATAACTCATAGCCGTGCAAAAGGAAGAACAATACCATCAGGTTGCAACCAGCAACAGAACCCATCAATGAACTAGGAGATTCAGCTCACCTGTCATTGACTTCGAAGGAACCACGCCTTGACTAGCACAAATCGACCCAGAGGAACCCAACCCAATTGATAGTACAACCTCCTCAATTACACTTGAGAGGATCATGAGAATGTGTCCCTTTACCGAAAACAGTTGATATGTGCCAAACTAAAAGTATAAATTACAACAGGGTTGGGTCAGGCGACTAATTCTTCCCATGCCAACACCCCAAACACGTTCTCCCTTGTTTGCACAAAAATGGAAGGATTAATTTCTATATCTCACAATCCCTGCCTAAACCTGTGCTAGTCAGGAAGGCAGCACCGCAGCATCTGTTGATTCTCGGCTGGAAGTAGCATCTAATCTGTGCGTGTCTTCCCTTCTATACTCGACTTACTGAGAACAAATACGCCAATTACAATGAGGAGGGCACCTGCAAACCACTGTACAAGCAACTTGAGTTCAGAAATGAAACTAAAAGGATGGACAGGCTAAATACAACTCCTTGTGATAGATCACAATCCCGTCATAAGTTCCCAAAAGTGTCCCACTTAAAAAATTGATGTAGAAAATTAGGGTTTACATTTTTTTTCTTCATAAACTTGTTCAAAAGCAAACAAGTACTAGTCAGAAATAGCAGATAAGAATCGGCATAGATAAGGCTGCAAGCTCGGGCAGGGACTTTGAACACAGGCCTATGCTATACCATACAAACTCTAAGAGACACTGTGCTGGCTGGCATCTTTAACTCTACCATCAAGCAGCAGTCTTATAGTTTATCAGCGTGCGTGTGTGTGTGTTTTTGTCTGCATGGTTGAATGTGTGCACATATTTGTTTATAGAGCACTATAATAGAAACCAGCTGTCTAAGTTCTAGTTCTAATATGGGCCCATAAAATTGCACATTTGAAGTTGTTTGCATATTCTACACCTGAATAAATATGTGATCAGTGGCTAAGATATATCTCGAGTAAAGAAATAAGGTTTAGACAATTGAAGAGCAGATAATATCCCATGAAACAGTTGGGTCATGAGTGAAGGGCTGAACCCAATGATAAAAAAGCTGCCTCATGCTAAGAACCTGCCAGTTTATAAGCATCATATTCCTCTTACTTGGCAAAATGGACTCCTCCAGCAATGAAATTATGAAGCCCACAGAGAACTAGAGAAGATCAGAAAGTACAGAAACACATAATAAGATCCACAGACATCTTAAGTAATGAATTGGTCAAAATACCTGAAAGGATAATGCTTCTTCAAAGAGGAAAAACCCAGCTAAACCCGAAGACAGAAAGTTGGTCGCAAAGTTTGTCACAGTAGCTTGTAGAGAAGAGAGAGCTTTCAGGCTATTAACATAACATCCCCACATTATCACATTGAAGAGTATGACCAGACCGTACCTAACAAGCTGCTAAAGTCAAAAAAGCAAATGTTATTCAACTATGAAAGGGATGCAGGTTGACATATGATTCTATTGTGACCTTAAATATCTAGCCCGACATATTTGGTTTTACAGTTTCATCACAAGGAAAAAAGACATACTGATACTTTGTGTCTATATGGATCTTACCGATGCATATGCACAAACATTAGATAGAGCGATAGAGAGAACTTTGGTCATGAACACCATAAGCCCACCAAGTTATAGGACATACACTTGCAACAAAGCATTGCACAAAGTATGGGTTTTACATTAATCAGTTATACTTGTAGCAGAATATCAATATCATATCCTCTCTCTACATGAACCACTGTAGAAGATGTTAGGTCTGAGTAGTTATGCGACCGAAAAGTAGGCATCAAAAGCAGCAGCAATCCACTCTGCTTTATGAACGCACAACTAACAAGGATATCTTCAGCATTTATGACACCAGTCACAAGTTCCAGCAGAGACCTAACTGGTTGCATTATGGAATAGTTACATTTGATGAGTGGAAACTCATTTTTGCTTTCAAATGTTCCTAATTACATAGAAAAAGAACCAAACAACAGTGCAATGTAGTCATCTCAGAAACTCATAGGAATTAGTGCCTCGATTCAAATAATGTGTTATTATGATACATGTGGATGGTGTGAGGTACAACTGCCCTATTGCTACCTGAATTTTGAATGATATGTGAGGTGATGTCTTACTATCATCAAATGCCCTTTCTTTCCTCCCGTATACTCACTTACCGAAAAAAATTTCTGTGTCACTTTATTTGGTATAGCCAAACTGATATCCATTGATAAGGCTGTAATTGCAATAATTGGCTAAAACATTTGGCTAAATCCTTTCAAACTAGTAAAAGGACTACACTCATGTGAACCTTATTTTTATTTTTTTAAAGCGCAGTGCAATAATATACATTAGGATACGATAATATGATCTGTTATATAGTTAAAGAATGAACTTGTCTTACATGTGGATAAACAAATAGATCTCCAGTTAGTTAATAATAATCATGGAAATACAAAAATGACTCTGAATGCAATCATCAATTAGAATAAGCACATCTGGGAAACGATTGAAGAAATCAGAACAATGGCTAAATCATACACAATATGCGTGATAGTCACAATCTCAGGAAATCAATCAGCCTTACCACTCGCCCACTCTTCAGCTCTTCAATATGTCAATCAATAAGGAGAACCGTGGGTGGGTTGTATTAGGATTACGATTTGCCGATGAATTTGTAGGATCTTGAGAGCGATTGCAAGTTGGAGTAGTGAAAAGATGAGAAGGAGTACCTGAAATGAGAAAAGCTTAGCGGAAATGGCAGCGAGAGCAGCGTTGAGTCCGGCTGAAATCGCCCATGCGTAGCCTTTCTTCTTGCTGCTCTCCATTTATTTATTCAACTCCTACTACTTCAATTCAGTCTCCGAAGTTACTGCGAAACCAGATCAACCCGTCGAATTATTATGCATCGCGGGTGGCGATGGATTGGATGTCACGAGTTGTTGAACGACGACGGTTGATCAGGTTTCTGTCTTTTTCAGATTAAAGGACGATGATTTGCTATACAGATGGGTAGCCCATTACCAGTAGTAACCCAATGGGAAGGCCCATTGCAATATTGAATTGGGTCAATTTCAATGAATGGTCTAATTACAGGGACACTACCTATACCTAGAAAATCACTGTCATTTCTTTGATATTCACTGTCATTTTTTTTAGTTTATATGCCCATTTCACATACTACCCCTACAAGGACGTTATTGACATATCTAAAAAATAATGAAATTCAATATTAATTTGAAGTTAATGGGATAAAATTGAATATTAATTTGATATTAAATCAATAAAAACATATGCTAATTTGAGAAAATTAAATTTTAATTTGGTGTTAAATTGATGAAGTTAGTATTAATGTGATGAAATTAATATTCAAATTGACGAAATTGAATGTCAATTAGTGTTAATTTAATGAAATTAAATGTTAGTTTGATAAATTGGGGGTCAATTTTTTTTTTTGAGGGGGGGGG